AAAAAAAAATAGCTATCGTGAAAAAACAAACTTGAACGTTTAAAGAAAAATATCCTTTGCGGTTTCTAAAAACTTCACCATCTGGACCACCAGGATTTTGAATTTTGATATGAGTGCAGTCTATACATCCGCCAATGCCTGGCATTTTATACATTTTATAAAACTGCTCTTGTATTAAACTCCATTCTTCAGCTGTATTTGGAAACTTAACATAATGTTTACATTGGCTTGCTAAACTTTTAGAAATTCTTTTAATTATACGAGATACTGTTGCTTGATTAATTCCTCTGATATCACCGCTAACTATCTACAGTTACATTATAATATATTAATTAGGTAAATAATTATTGTTGATATTATTACTGCAATTGAGCTACTTGGAAATTTGATGATGCATAAAATCTTAAAGCAGTTAGAAGCTGAAGGATCGGAGGAATTGGTAAAACTCGATTAGTTGGATAACTTATATTTGAAATCAGGTCCAACAAAACATCTACTACTGTTTCTTCGGAAAACCTATTATTCATTATTATAATGATATTATAAAGCCATTTTTTGTTTGTTATTTTATTGCATAAATATAAGAATTACTTACCTGTATCTCTTATAGAATTCCAAATCCGAAAAAAATTCTAATGGATTTTCAAAATCCCTTAAATATCTTCTTGGTGTAGGTTCTTCTAAGTATTGAACAAAATCAATAAACTCATTAAATTCCATTAATTCTTCCATTTCACAATAAATAAACAATAACAAATCACTTTAAACAATAGTTTGTTAAAAAACAAGAATAGTACAAATTATAACTACAACAAGTTAAAAACAAATGTATGGTGACAACAAAATAAACGTTTACGGGATGGTTAGGTGATGAATATTGACCACTTAACTTTACGGACTACTTTATGTACCAACAAACCCATAATTATGACTATGCAATGCAAAGTTACGGGAATTCTCTTATGTGTTACCTAAAATCATTTAAGTGTTACTTAAAATGACTATGCATACGGCCCGTAAATGTCTTAAACTTATTGAAGTGATAGCGAATTTTGATAATCCTGTGGCTGAACACTCGGGAAATATAAAGAATAAATAAATCCATCAACATTATTTGGGACCCAAGATACAAAATAAATTGATAAACTTGATTGAAAATAAAATAAGAACAGAAATTATAACACTTATTAAAAAAGTGAAATATTACATTATTATGCTTGATGCAACTCCTGATGCATCTCTCAAGAAACAGTTAACGTTCATAATCAGAATTGCACAGATAACTAAAACTTAAAATAATGTTAAGATTTCGGTTGACGAATATTTTTTTAATTTTTCACATATAATTCTTAAAACAAGATTAGGATTATTCTATGTTTTAAAGCAAAATTGATCAAATATAGGTAAATGTTTTTCAAATTGTCGGTGCCAAGGGTATGTCAATGGTGTACAGGGTAGAATTTTAAATGAAAATCTTAGAGCTTTGTTCTTGCCATGTTGTACTCATTCACTAAACCCTTGTTATGTAAGTTTTTACTCATTGTACTTGATTATTTTAGGAGATATGGAAAATTGCAAAAGTTAAAAAAAAATTTTTTCAAATATTTAACATTAAAACCGTTGTCTGAGACTCGGTGAGAGGGCCGATTAGAATCTATAAAGGCAATGAAAAATGCAACTAAAATAAATAAATTGTTGATAGAAGTAAGTCAATCTACAAAAATACCGGAAATTAAAAGCGAAGCTATTTCTCTCGTTGGACATGAAATGTCTTTCGAATTTAATGCTAAGTTCAGTTATATGGTATACTTTATAAAATAATGTTAATAAAGTATGCAAAACTCTGCAAAATGAAAACAATTTGAAATGATTTTCCTGTAATCAATTTGAACTGCCTGAAACAGTTTTTAAATAAGTATCGAAAAAATGGATTCAATTTAGCAAAAAAAGATGCTAAACATAATATGTAAGCGAATCGATAAAACATCATTGTTAAAATCTTAAAGAAACAAATGTTTAGTTAAGTAAGATCTCCATCGAGTTCAACAAATGAAGAAGAATGTTTGTCAATGATTTTTTTTACCAATTATAGATCGAGGAATAATATATATTAATAAGATATTCATCCAATTGGATCATTTAAACAATTATTTTGAATTTTATTTGGTATTGGTAATTTATCTACTACCGACTCAAATACGTTGTCATAATCTACGGATTATGTTATGAATAGGGGAAAACATGGACATAAGTGGATCGGAATTGTATGATGATTTTTGCCTTCTTTCAGAAATAATTGATAAAGGTCCCTCTCCTTTAAGAGTTGAACAAAAAATCCTTAGCAACAGTGTTGGTGATATTTATCCTAATGTTGCTGTAGCATAAAGAATTATGCTCACATTACCAGTTACTACAGCAGGATTAGTTGAAAGATCATTTTCAAAAATTATTATAGAAGAACTCTTAAAAAGAAGAACTAAAAATGTAGCGATAATACCTATAGAACATGAAATAGTAGACGAATTGGACATGGATAATGTTATTGCCACATTTGCTGATCTTAAATCAAGAAAAGTTAACTTTTAATTATTATTATTATTTCTTTATTAAATAATTTTATAAACATATTATAAAAATGTACAACAATTTTATCATAGATAATATTATAAACCTACATGGGTAGGCTGCAATGATGTAAAATGATTTTGTTAGGTACTGGTAAAGGTAATATTTAAACATACTTCACATATTGAAAAAAGGCGCCTGCAGAAATATAAACAGGGGTAGGAAACCAATATAAAGGGTCCAATAATACAGCAAAAACTATTTTTTTTTAAAAGTTATACAACAATTAATATTAACTAAAATATACGGTGTCATGCACCTTCCAGCAACACCCGCTGCGGACGCCTTTGGTTTTGAAATGAGAGAAGTTACGATAGTGCAATTGTTACATTTGTAATTCATTAATGCATCATATATTTTTTTGTTGGTCCCGCTAAAAGAGTTATGCTCCGAGCCCAGAAAATTATAGGGATTATCCTGTTCGTATATATATTAGACACCCGATAAAGTAATGATAATATCACCATTTATATTTCATCTATTTGTTTGAATGTTATTTCATATTTGAATATTTGTTCTGTGACTTCAGAAAGATAATAAGACTTCGGAAGAGATAATGACATTTCACGACTTAAAAAAAACAATCAGTCGACAACTGAAAGAATTGGAAGAGAAATTTGACTTTTCAAATCAATTGAAAAGAACAGTGGTTGACCAGTCTTACAAACTGATTAACAGGAATTATGGAGGTCCCGTGAATCAGCTGGATTCAGGTCGTTTGGATTTAATACCAACATCTGTTCAAATTGTAAATCCACACCTGTTTGCATTGCATTTTCACGATTGATAGAATAATAATATATAGATATTATTATTATAAGTATTTTTATTTTAATAGATTAACTGTGATTCTAAAGAAGAGTGCCATAAGGTTGTTAATCTCAGCCACGATGCTTTGATGGGGAGATTACCTCATAATGTGGTTTTGAAGTCAATGGTGTGTATTATATAAATAATTATTTTTTATAATATCGTTTTCACTTAGGGCTTACACACTTTATCTGATAATATTACTAATTTATCTTCGTAAATATAAATAAAATACCTATCTATTTATTTGTATTTAATACATACAATATCTATACTTGTCTTAGACGGGCTTCAATTCCGTTTGTCAAAATTATTTTTCGACTCAAGAATGTGGACATAACAGTGATTCGAGCTGTTGCAGTATTTCTTCTAAAGAAACAAATATGTATAGTATATTTCATTATTTATTGATATTCCATAAGTCAGTGATTATTGTTAACAATAAATATCATTTTAGAAATACGCTAGTGTCTCAATGTTCAGACACACTTCAAAACTCACAAGAAGTTTGTCAACTAAACGAGCAACTTCAAAATATACTCAATGAAAACCAAGAACTTCTTTTTAAACACAAATCTATAGTTCGTTTTAAACTTAATAATAATATTGTATACAGTAAAATTTCGTTATAACGTTTTGCTATTGATTAAGACAAGAGATACTCGAGAGCGTAAAAATGTTATATAATATAAACAATAAGTAATTTTAATGTAAAGAAATACTAGGTATTGTTTTCATAGTTTTTAATATTTAAATATTTGATATTACATGATGATTGCTCCAATCAAAATTACTAATATGCATCTAGAACTGTTATCTTTGTTCCAATTACATTACCATTTTAACATTTTAGGAGTACTGTTATGTTTGGTTACTTAATTTAATTATTTTTTGATTTAAACTATCAAAATATGATAAGACATGCAAAGTATAAAAAAAAACATAAAATATCTAAGACGATATACTTTGTATGAACTGAAAATTCAAATATAGAAATACAAATGCCTTTATTTTCTTAATTTTTATTGATATTTATGCCATGAAAGAAATCGATCCTATCCAATAAGGGTAATGTCTAGAAGTTCAGAAAATAAACAATAAACTAGTCAAATTCTAGAGACTTGATCATACTAATTAGCCAGCTATATAGTTGAGAATTTATTACATGCTTGAATGTTATAGCGAATTTTTACTATTTCATTTTAAAGGGTTAATATATTTTTGTTCTTATAGACCGAACGAAACGATTTATTGGTAAAAGCTTTGAATCGTCCCGTAAGTAAAATTTTATGAAGCAAACAATCATAAATTATAGTTATTCATATAATTTAATTTCTTGTAGGCTGTGTTTAAAAAAATAGACGGTTGCATACGATTTCCTGGAAAAAAAGAAATGGTGATTACCTAAAAAATAATGGATTAATAATAAAAATAAAATTGTATTTGTTTTTGTTGTAATTTTTTGATATCCTAGGAAGAAAAACTTGCAGAATTTAAAACAGAAATATTGAGATTGAATTCTGAAATTAAAGTAGTACACATAACTCAATTAAAATTAAAATCAGTCAAAGAAATTCTTAACCAATTTAATGCTTCTAACTGTCAGGTACTCACTTCAACATATTATAAAATTATAAAAAATAATGAATGGAATATGTCAATTGTTTAAAATACTGTTATATAAATAGTGTGGAAGCCCTTCATTTAAAGACAAGATCAATACAAGTACCAAAGTTCAAAAACAAGAAATTCAACAAATCGAATTGCAAATAAAGTAACTTATATATTAGTTGTATTTTCAATTTGTACTGAAACAACGTGAATACTTTATTACTTACGATCAGATTTGCTTACTTGCCTACTGGAGTAGCGTACATTGTCAAACTTTTGTGATGTCTTATTATGAACATTTGATCTCTTGATGTTAGACGGATAACCTTCCTGGTATTTCTCTAGTATACCCTATTTTATCAGCCTTACTCTCACTCTCACTGACTATATTCGTGTCATCTATTGGTGCCACCCTTACACTACAAATAATTAATTAATTTCTAATTTTATTCTGCATAGACACTCCACACATTGGCATTCTCCTTAGCTTTCTCATATCTGCTACAACCTCTGTTCTAACACTGCCACTGGCTAACATTCCGATCTATACAACATGACTTCCCTTGTAACTGTTCTACACATTAGCGACATGGGGAGTCACTAATGATACCCAAACAGTTTTTTTTTCTGAACAGTGAAAGGTGTTTATCAATGGAGACTCCAGTATAATACTGAACATAATTGAACTTTTCAAGTTGTAAATGTAGTTATATTAAAAGTTAAGGCAAAAACATGTTCACTACTATATTCTTAAGCTTGTTTTACTCCGATCAGTGATTATAATAAGTTAAACTTATGTAAAATATAAACCTAATATTTTAACTGTAAGAATTAATTTTGATAGTCATTTAAAATCTTTGAGTACTTACTCTTATTAAATCACATAAATATAATATTCAACATACCTGAAATAATAGTATACAGATACTCCAACGTAATGAAAGTAAATTGGACATGTCTTTACAAAATATAACAATTTTTATAATAAATAATAAGAGACAAACAACTCGGAAGTCTTGACTAATTGTTGAAACCATTTTGCATTTTTTCTTGGGTTTTCTTGAGTCCAATGTCAACCTCAGATCATCATAATAATCTATTCATCGTATCCGTCTTAGCCCCCCTAAAAATATTAAACAAACAATACCGTAATTTTGTAAAGTTTGCAGAATTTTTTTCATTATTTTATATTCTTATATCCACAATTATATAAGTGTACCTAGTACATTACAAACATACTATTTACCAATTTATTTTTTATGGTAACATACCGAACAATCAAGTCACAATTCACAATGATATATTGTGTTTATATACCTAATTGTGTACATATTTTGTACCAATTGGCCATCAATATTGAATAACATATTATACAGTTCTATTTATAGATGAGAAAAATATTATTTCTTTTCTAATTTTTGTTAATTCTTGAGAAGCGATAGCTATTATAGGACTATCGCTATAGCTGTATTAATCGTATCGTAAAGCTTATCGTGATTGAATGAATCGTATTCGTACATTGTAATGGGTATCGTACATTCATATTTCTACCGTTACCGTAACCGTATTGACAATTTAATTTTAAATTATATTTTACTTATTGTTTGATGTTCTTGGGAATACGTTTCTTTTGAGATTGTGGTTTAGATTTTTAATAAATAATTTAGTAATTATTAATTATTCTTTTTTTTATGTATGTAATTATTTAAGTTGTTATGATAACGAGTCAACGAGATTTTTTATGAGTGATTTAATATAAAAATTAGTTTGTTGAGGGTGAGGGGGCAACGTCTGTTTGTCATCAAATATTTGAGCCTCAATATTTCACAAGATCTCCGCCTATGTGGCTAACACAACTTTATTTTATGTTATTTTAAGCAAAAAAAAAACTAGAGTGTCACCGGTGACACACAGCCGTCTTGAAAAGATATTTTTCCACTCCATTATTTATAGATGAGAGGACTAGCGGGCAATAGACACCGGTGATATCTCATTATTACTACTGAAACATGTTCACCTCAACAAGAGAAATCGACTGATACCAAAATTGTTTACTAGATGTCTCACAAGTATATTTATCACTGTTTTAGTTGTATAGAGGCTATGAACAGAATAGCTAAAACGGCCCTCTAAAATCTACCTTACAATCTCAACGTGATCATTTTGTTACTCAAAATATTTAACTCTTCTATACATTTTATCCATTCAACCAACCTATTTCTGACGTAAGCGACATAATAACCATTATTTTGTCCCTAACCTCACGCAGTACAACACCCTCATCATTTTTTCATTTACTCCCTCCAAAATCATACTCAATAGATTCTGTCTTATTCTTCATATCCTTAGCTCCTTTGCTTCCAACACTGTTTATTAATTTTCTTATCTTTGATTCATTCCTTCCAGACTTTCTCCCAGTAACACAACATCATTAACAATGTCTCCTCGCCCAATGTATCGTTCGTAATTACGTCTTATGCTAAGGAGAACGGGTGATTTATCAACGCTGAACTGTGGTGCAAAACTTAAGCTTTCACTATTGTGTTCGATTTTCAACACACATTTGTCTTATGTCATTATCCCTTCATGCATGTCCTTTATTACTTTAGCATACATTTCCCTTACTTCTTTCCTTCTTACCACCAAGCTCTATACCTCTGTATGAACTCCTTCAAATCTATAAGTACCAAACAGATTATTGGTATCATGATTAGCTTTTACACTCTGTGGCACCAATGGGTATGGCGAACACTCGTTGAGTGCTGCGCTCTCTCGAAGGTTAGGTTAGGTTTGAAAAAGACAAAACAATTTTTGGCTGCGGCTGGTAGTTAGAAACTAAAGCTGACTTTAAAAGTGACTTAATTAATCGTTGGTTTTGGTATGAACGAACCAAACAAAAATTGGTCGAAGCTTGAGGTTACTCTTATTTGATTCAAATTATATTATGTAATATAAATATATTTTTTTAGACAGAAGAATAATGAATTGAATAACATTGTGTCCGATTATGAAGATATCGTTAAGACGAATTACAAAATAACTGATACACATAATAAATTAGCTAATGATCTAATAGAATTATTGAAAAAGATAGAAGTACGCCAATGTAGGATATATAAAAAGAAATGAATAATATGTACTAAATACACTTACAGGAGTACAATTTGGAAGGTTTCAATGATTTAAAAAATGATTTAATCAAAAACAACGAAGATATCGAAACAATGGAATTGATCATCAAAGAGCGTAATAATGAAATTAATGATTGTGATGAAAAGGCAAGTCCTATAAACATTTTAAACTTTATGTGTAATATAACATGAGTAATAATAAATCTACCAATGATTTTTAGTTGAGGCGTGTTCAACATGAAACCAAAGATATAACCCTTAAAACAAAAAAATGGGAACATGCGATGAAAAATCTCTTAGACGATTTCAATGAATCGTATAATAAATTAGAAGTAATATTTAAAACAAAACTATATTTGAAATAATAATGTTAAATAGGTATACCGTACCATAGGTAGCCTACCATCTTATTTCTTCAACCGTTTTGAAAAGACGGCTGTATTTAATACTACCATTCACTGTAAATTGTAGTCATTTATACATCTTTTGGTACATATCATTATTTGTTGATAACTATGATATAGGTATTTTTATACTTCAAAAGTGTTTTCTGAAATATTAAATTGAGACAGAATATATTTTAAATGTGAATTGTTGTATTTATGTAGTCGGTTTACAAAGAACAGCTGGAGGAACTGTTGGCACTGCCGAAAGTTTTGAAAGAAACGCATATTAAATTACAAGAAGAGATTGACCTAAGAGTATTAGCTGAAGAATCAATGAATAAACTAAAACGTGATCTTAAAGAGGTTAATAATATGTTCAGTAAAAATATAAATTATAATTATTTTCAATAGTATTTTAATAAATTATAATTGATTTTATTATATACCATGTTTTCTATCTTCTGTGGCAGATAACTACAAAATGTTTTATTTTTTTAAGGTGGAAAGTTTGAAAAATGGAAATAAAAACGATGACGAGACAATGAATCAAGATATTGAAGACGAACGATTAAAGATAGAATCCGAAAATAAAATTATTGAGTATATTTCACGAGTTTATTTTTAATCAGATATTTCAGTATAAATATTTGTCAGGTCAAAATTAAAATCTCTTGAAGAAAACATCGAGTTATCTGTAGAATGCCTGGAGAAAGAAACTCAGGAACTAAACGCTGTAAATCTACAAATCCAAGAAGCTATTGCAGAGAGCACCAAACACATAAACGCATTCCAACATTTTTCAGAAATACATTTGGAAAGAATAGTTAACGACTTGCATAGATTACAAGAGATTTTGACGGAATCACAAAACAGAGAGTGTGCGAAAGTTCTCGTTAAAAAATCGGTAAGGATGAAATTTTATAATATATCCAAACGGTAATTTGTGATCTACTAATTTATCGTTAAACTAAATATGTTGGGACATAAATACTTTTACTATTTCTGATTCCCATTTTTTAACTATTTTTTTGAAAATGACATCTATTTTAGAATTTTAGTAGATCTTGGAGGTCTGACCTAGTTTCAATATCATAAACATTTAAGTCATGAATCTAAACACAGCAAGCTTGAGTGAAAAAATATAGTCTATATTATCCATCAGAATGCGATCTGAACTGTTGAGTTATCGTTTTCATATGTACATCATATGAACATTTATTTATTTTTTATAATTGAAATATAATGAAACTACTACTATTCAGAGCGCATTTTGGGAATGTGACATTTCCAGACCACATAAATCAGCAGAGTTCCTCTTATGTTCATTTCCGAAGTAATATTTGCAATATTAGTAAATATTATATTGAATAACAATGGAATACATGGTATAAGGGTTAGGTTCGGAACCTCCTTTGGTTCATATGCTATGAAACTCATTTCATTTTCTTATTCTTTTTTTGCATATTCTTTAAAAACCACAAGCTCGGGTTTTTTAAATCGAAAATATCCATCGATTTGTTACACAAAACATCCTTAGGTAATACAGGTAAATGACCAAATTCATCAAAAAAAATTATGTAACCTCACGTAACTTTTTTGCACAGACTGTTTCAATTGGAAACATCCCTTTATTTCTAATGCAAAACCACTTATAAAAGTGCAAAATGTTTGTTGAGTAATAGTGGGAAATCCTGTACCAAAAGTGACCTGTATGCCATATTTCTTATTACACCACGATGTACAGTTTAAGAAATAGTGCAAGTATAATATAATAATAACAAACAGATCTGATATGGTAATAGATTTGAAAAAATGTAAAAAACCATCATTCTGAAAGTAGGTTGGACCACCAATTTCTGACTTTACTGTCGATTGTCATTAAATTAAAACACTTAAATTCAAAAAAATAATTGTGTCCTGTAAAGTTTAAAGTTAACCTGTTTTTATTCAGTTCATGGATCATCTCAAAGATAAAATAACTTCAATTTACCAGAACGTAGAGACGTGTAAGCTAGAAATGCGTATTCTTCTTGAACAATCAAATGAACATAACATGACGCCATAAATTTCTTATGTAAATCATTTTTTTTGTTTTTCTGTTGAAGTAACAATAGTTTTTATGACAAATTATAAATTCGATAAAAAGTAAATTCATTGACGTATATCTGTTTAACAGGTATAAGGTGAAACTAAAAAATTATTAAGCTTAGAGATAAAATAAAATTAAAAAATGGGGAAAACAACTGAATATACATATATAAATTATAAGGTGAGAAACAGGTTTTTAAGAATAAAATAATACAAACCCATAGTCAAATATCTAATATACATTACTTAAAACCAATGACGTTATCGACAGCTTTCTATTCCCAATCCTATTCCTATTTCGTATTCATTTCAATATGCATTTACCTACATGTATATGTTACGGACAAAGTGGGGTAGTCGGGCATTGTGCTACAATAGCCGGGCATTGTGCACAGTGCCCATCAGTTTCGTTTAAAGTATTCAGTTAGTAATAATTGTTTACTATGACCGGTCATTCTATAACAGTGTCTGGGCAATTTGGATTGCCCGACATACTTTTGGTCAATGTAAAAATTTACTGTATAATATATGTTCGTTAGGACCTAAGGACGATACCGCGTCGTCTCGTAATTAAGATATTATATACCTACCTAACTCACAATGACAAAATATAACGATTAGATAGAAAAATAACAGACGGCGCGTATGAGTGTTTGTGTGTGTGTGTATGTGTGGCAGTCGTGTGATAGGTGCACATCTCTTATCACTGATCGATCAGACTCTAGGTGCAAACACTCCTTTAGTTATCTAATCAACCACCTATCTTTATTATTACTCTGTTATAATTTGGAAAGTTTTGGTTATGATGTAGGTATTTGTCTAAAATTATTTGAGCAATACTCCAGTACTGCAGATATACTGTGTAGTGTGTTCAGTGTTCAGTGTGTTCAGACTGTTTATTTATGACGTTTGTAATATTATATTAATTTTTTTCCTCAACTTTTACCACGAAACTGGTTGTACGCAGAAGTGTAAAACAAAAAAATGCAAATGTAAAGCAGCAGGTAAACTATGTAATTCTAAGTGCCACAGTAGCAACCCGTGCTCAAATAAATAAATATGTATACTAATATTCATCTAATAAATAATAATAAATAAATTGATTTAATATTTGTTATTATATTGTATTAAATTTATTTAATTGTATTGTTTTAAACATAGTAGCATACATTGCCCTTCAAGGATTCGGTCATTGTACACAATGTCCGAGTAATGTTTTTTATTTTCACTTTAACCACTAAAATTGGGCATTGTACACAATGTCTGGGCACTGTGCACAATGCCCAACTACCTCACCTTGCCCGTAACATATACATCGAAATGAAAATAACGATATCAATATACTATTGCATTTATCAATTCTTGATAAAAATAAAAACTGCGTTGATAAGTACAAGGTAATTTCACAATCGACGCAGATGAACAGTCTTTTGATGTTAAATATAAAATATGTTATTTATTACAAATCGCTGCAGAAAAAATATCTTATGACTACGTTGAAAGAAAAAATAGAACAATCGACAAACTGATCGGCTGATAATTAATTTATACACACATTAATAATGAAAGTAAACAAATTTGTGTACGGCCAGATAACCAGCTGCTAACAACGATTGATAGTAACGACCGACTTTCGGGAGCAGTGCTGTGGTTATCCTGGAAAGATCTATATCAACTGCTGGTGGAAGGTCAGGCAGGCGACACTCACACCATTATCGGATACACCCAAACGAGTTCTAGATTTTACTGCGACACAAGACTTTGTTTCTAACCTGTGATTCTACAGAACAAAGAAGTTCCAAAATATACTTGGTTACAGCATCATGCTACCGGATCAGCAGTTGACACCACCACATCATACCATGATATTAACACAGAACACTATAGAAGCGACACTCACCCCTCCACTTTTATTTTCTTCATTTCGGAGCGACAAGAATGATGTTGTAAGCTTGGCGGTAAGGCATGATCGAAATGCATTGCTCGAGATCAGCCCGCCAATTTTTTTAAATAAAAGGTCCCTGCATATTTCCACTCACTAAGATTTGTATAACCCCCCTTCCACGAAATAGATGAAGTTGATAATTTATTTGATATATTAAATTCTTGAATGAAAATAAGGCCACAAGAAGACGATGAATCAGAACCTAAGGGGGAAAAACGATTTTGCTTACCTTTAAAAAATGCTGAATATCAAAATAATTTCTTATTAAAAATGTTTAATTTTTAAAAAAATATAAATGTACAAAAATTTAAAGCAATGGCACAACATTAAGAAAAGCTACAACATTAAATCTCTGACAGGTTGGATGATTTCATAGCAGGATTAATTAAATTACATAATATATTATCAAAAGAATATGATGAAGAAATTGAACTAATGACAAGGAGATTGAACCAAGATTGTTTGGAAAATTTATTTGGTACTATGCGAATTCAGAATAGTAACTGTCTAAACCCCTCAAATATTCAGTTACAGCACACCTTCAAAAAATTATTTTCATTAAGCTATTTTGAATATAATGGAGGTGCAAATTGTTTGGAAGACATAGACCAAGTACTGAGTACTTTAAATAAAATACCAGCTGAGGATTTAAAAACAATACTCCCTGAAAACCAAAAGGTAATTCAATTAATAAGTTACCCATTGATGCCACCAATTACAGATCATAAGAATTGCCAGAAAGAAATGCTTTTACATATATATGTGGTTATTTAATAATAAAGTATTATAACATGAATTCTTGTGAAACGTGTATAAGATATGGCAGATCTACCACAAAGTTATCTGATTAACTTTTTTTCACACACTTCGAAACACATCAACACAGCTCTATATCTATGTTTTCATCGTTAAAGGCTCCAGATTGTAATTTTTACCAATATATTTTTGAATTAGACAATATATTTAAAAATCGATTTCCTACTTTAGCACCATCACCAAAAGTTGGGAAAAAACTTAAAACTTTAATGTTAAATGTATACTTTGAACATCCCTGTGAACAATTCCCCCATGACTATTTGTTAAACTTATGTATAAGATTTAGAATTTATACTATTTTGACCAGAACTAAACGTAATTTGCGAATACCTAGCATGAAAAATAGAAAATTGCAAATTTTATGTCATTTAAAAATATTGTTATGTATATATTTTGTTAAATTGTCTTATAGAAGGTAGATAATTCATATTTAATATCAATGATATTAAATAATTATGAATTTTAATAAAATCATATCCGAAAAACAAACTACATACAAATTTATTGAATAAATATCTTAAAAATAATATATTAACCATCATAAATTCAATATTCGTATCATATAACATAAAAAATCTTATCACATCTTATCACATATTTTTGTATGATTAGTCGTAATAACAAGAATGATGTTGTAAGCTTGGCGGTAAGACAAGAAGTTACAAACCATTTCAAGGCCATTAAGAATTCTAAGCACATTAACATTGACCGCCCGAAAGTGTCGCTTCTATAGTGTTCTATGATATTAATAATCCTCTCTTTGATCGCAGCATGTCCCATACAAATAGGAGGCACTCTTATAGAGAACTCCAATGATTGTTAACTCATCGTCTTAGCTTCATAGCATTTGTGTGGATCATGGACTTATTTACAGCCACATTGCAACCTACATAAGTGCATTTCCGGTGGTTCTAGATTAAATACATACTTTTCAGTAGAATTCTGAAATGTTCTGTCGAAACACTTTTTATAGTTTAAATAATCTAAATTATTTTATTAGCTAAGTAAATAGTATTTAATAATTGTGTTCGAATCTCTTATTTCTTACTCAAACCTCCTTCCTATCTGATGTAACAACGTGTACTTGCATTCGTCCTAAAAGAAGGGTGCAGTGACCAAGTGGTCACGAAACTTTTGATCTCACATTGCTGTCCATACAATCAGAACCTCGTATTTTTGTTCTTTCGTGAATGGTGTTGGCTGTACCATAGGGTTTTCTACCGTCTAGAAACGATGAAAATGTTGATTAAGTTAAGGTTGAGCAAAGAGGGTCAAACACGCCTGTGGCATCGGAGTAGAATCAAGTGGAGTATATCCATGAAAATCCAGCCTAAGTTAGTCTCGAACACTGATGAATGCCCATGCATATGTTGGACACGATGCACATATAAAATAAATTTGATGGTTCACATCAGCACCTAGTAAGAATTCGATGCGTTCCAGATGATCAAACGATAAGCAAATTCCAGGTCGAGTATTGTGAATGGATACCTGGGTTGAGAGTGGCTGCTGGTTACAGTAATTGTATGCAGTACGATAGGTTCACAAGAGTATTCGGGAAGTATCATTGTATGTAATATAAACGGCAGAGCTATTATTTTGATTTGTGATATATACTTGTGTGATATTGTTACTATAATTTCGACGGAGCTCTGATGAATTAAAAGAATAAAAGTGCATAATTCAGTTACTGCCTTATTTATTGCTCACGTCGAATTGATCACACTTATTTTTTTACCTAACCATCAGCTATAGTCGTGCCACCAGCTATTGCCTTACCCACATTGACGGTGTGGACACCTCGAACTGCCGCTAACTACTTAGCGGGCCACGTAACACCATCATGTTTTTAGGATACGAACTTGTTTCGTATCATTCATTCATGCCCTAACCTGGATCAGCAGAGACTTCGAGTAAAGATTCGCATAAAAAATTGTTCCCCATTTGCTATTGTGAGCCCCAGATCTATAAACTGTACACTCCGAAGGAGTATTTTTATGTACAATACCTGTGGATTATTAATGTGGTTTAAATAAAATTGTACTTAATAAAGCTAACGTCCATTAACCAAAAAACACAGAGTTGTGTTAGTTACAAAATATTGAAGAACTAATGTCTGATTGGAAAATCTTTGTTTTTTATAACTTAACATTATCCGATCTACATCAACAAATACCAACTATGGTGAGACTTATAATGGTGTACAAAAAAATAGTTGAATTGGTCATAATTATTCCTGTGTCTTCGGCTAGTGTAGAACGTAGTTTTCCAGTGTCAAGACATATTTAACAACTAC